GGGTGACTGACGTCTCCTTTCCTGATCTTGAATCCCGGTGGTGGTTTGGATGTGTTTACAGCTGGAAGCACAATCCCAACGCTTGCCACCAATGTAACGGAACCGGAACCCAGACCGCACTGAGTTTTTCCGTTATACCACAGCTTCCCCTGTCTGAACACCATCCACGGACCACACTCTGAAATCCCTCAGGAAAAAGACAACACCCAGCTCTTCTTAAGACAGAAAGCCAACAACTTTTATTGTACACAAACAACATGTTTTATACAGAGGGCGGGGAAAGACAACCAGGGACAGGAAACACATCATCAGCCCACTCTATCAGTGGGAGGGCTACAGTATAGGCAGGAAACACCTCATCACCCCTCCCCATCCAATCAAGACACAGAACAATGGGATGCAGCCATGCGGCAAAGGACATTGACCAACCCCCACACCAATACACAAACAGTACATCCCATAATAGTTTGCTGGACAGGAAGGCACAGCACCATGGGGGGAGCACATGGCAAACAAAAAATGGACAGCCATGTGGCCTAGACAAAGGACAACACACAAATGCACAATACTGGGAGATTCACATGTACACCCTGTACCCTTAAACAGGCACAGGGTGGGTTAAACATAATGATTTAGGGAGATGATACAGAGGTCCCCCCCCACCCCCAAAAGTCACTCCTGTCACACACACAATTAAGAAAGAATTTGGGAACCATTGAAAAGGGAGAGAGGTGTATTGAAGACCTACACCAAAAGATAATATATAGGATGCCATCAGCAAGTAAATTGACACAGCAGGCAGCACAGGGCCAACTTGCACAGTTTCAAGGTTTACCTGTAGAGGGTGAAATAATAAGCATTAGCCAGCTGCAGAGGGGGAGCCACACATACCTCCTGGCAGGGCAGGAAGTGCATCTTGCACAGGAGCATCTTTAAATTTGGACCCCTAAAGGCTGGTCCCTCTCCTCCTCTCTACATGCTCAGTACAGGCACACATCGTGCGCTCCATGCGGGCTCACACCTCCATCTAGCTCTGTGCTGTATACTAGGCAGAGCAAGTGCGCCCACCCCTAGCAGCAGCCATAGTGTAGACCATCCATGCTGCTGCACAGCATATCCTCAAAGACAGGCAGTTGGCAGGCAAGAAGCCGCTCCCTATACACTCGTGCTGTTAGCAGAAAACTGTTGGAACTGCGCCAGCATGACAATCGGATTTGGACGGACTGCCAGCCATGTAGACTGGCTAGGTGGGGACGCCTCAATCCTGAATGCAGGAGGAAAGGAAAACTATTTTGTTGAACTACCTTTTGCGTTAATTACAGCCTTTAGTCTGTTGGCATCTGTCTCTAATAACTTTGCACATCTAGACTTTGCAATATTTTCCCACTCTTCTTTGCAGAACTGCCCAAGTTCAGTTAAATTTGATGGTGACTGTTTGTGCACTTCAGTCTTCAAGTCATGCCACAAATTTTCAATGGGGTTTGACACTAGGTTCACACCCAAGCGTTTTCCAGAGCGTTGTGCACAAACGCACTACAGTCAATTTAACATGATTTCCTATGGGACACGTTCACATCTCTGCTTTTCACCCAGTGCGTTTTTTGGAAAGGGTCAGTGACTTTTTTGAACGCAAAAAGTTGTGTTTTTGGTTCTATAGACTTCAATGGAAACGCTGCAGAAAATCATGTAGTGCGTTTTTGCTGTGTTTTTGCCATGCATTTTAAATCTGCCTAGCAACAAGAAAACAAAATTTAAAAAAACGCAAAATGCATAAAAAAAACGCAGCAAAAATGCATGTGCAAAAACACAACACTAAATGCACTGCAGAAGGATCAATCAAACGCAAACTACATACAGTTGCATGAAAAAGTATGTGAACCCCTTGGGATTCCGTGGAGTTTTGCATGAATTGGGCATAAAATGTGCTCTGAACGTCATCTAAGTCACAACAATAGAAGAACACAGTCTGCTGAACATAATACTACACAAACATTAGATGTTGCCATGGTTTAATTGCACATAACATGTAAACATTCACAGTGCAGGGAGGAAAAAGTATGTGAACCTTTGGACTTAATAACTGGTTGACCCTCCTTTGGCAGCAATAACCTCAACCAAACGTTTCCTGTAGTTGCAGATCAGACCTGCACAACGATCTGGAGTAATTTTGGACCACTCCTTTTCACAAAACTGTTTCAGTCTAGCAATATTCTTGGGATGTCTGGTGTAAATCACTCTCTTAAGGTCATGCCACAGCACTTCAATCGGGTTGAGGTCAGGACTCTGACTGGGCCACTCCAGAAGGCGTATTCTGTGCTGTTGCAGCCATTGTTTTTTGTTGAATTACTTGTATGCTTTGGATCATTGTCCTGTTGCATCACCCATCCTCTGCGAAGCTTCAGTTGGCGGACAGATGGTCGCACGTTTTCCTGTAAAATGTCTTGATAAACTCTGGAATTAATTTTCCCATCAATGATAACAATCCGTCCAGGCCCTGAGGCAGCAAAGCAGCCCCAAACCATGATGCTCCCTCCGCCATGTTTTACAGTGGGGATGAGGTTTTGATGTTGGTGTGCTGTGCCTTTTTTTCTCCACACATAGTGTTGTGTGTTCTTCCAAAACAACTCAATCTTGGTTTCATCTGTCCACAGTATATTTTGCCAGTAGTGCTGTGGAACATCCAGGTGTTCTTTTGCAAACTTCAAACGTGCTGCAATATTCTTTTTGGACAGCAATGGCTTCCTCCGTGGTGTCCTCCCATGTACTCCATTTTTGTTTAATGTTTTCCTTATTGTAGATGTGTCAACAAAAATGTTAGCATGTCCCAGAGATTTTTGTAGGTCTGTAGCTGACACTCTGGGATTCTTCTTTACCTCATGCAGCATTCTGCGCTGTGCTCTTGCAGTCATTTTTACAGGATGACCACGCCTAGGGAGAGTAGTAACAGTGCTAACCTTTCTCCATTTGTAGGCAGTCTGTCTTACCGTGGACACATGAACATCAAGGCTTTTGGAGATACTTTTGTAACCCTTTCCAGCTTCATGCAAGTCAACCATTCTTGATCGTAGGTCTTCTGAGAGCTCTTTTCTGCGAGGCATGGTTCACATCAGACAGTGCTTCTTGAAACCAGTAAACCCAAAACAGGTGTGTGTTTTTTAAGGGCAGGACAGCTGTCAGCAACACATCCAATATCATCACACTGATTGGAGTCAAGGTTGGCTCACTCCTGGCTCCAATTAGCTCTGGGAGAAGTCATGAAGCTAGGGCCTCACATACTTTTTCCTCCCTGCACTGTGAATGTTTACATGTTATGTGCAATTAAACCATGGCAACATCTAATGTTTGTGTAGTATTATGTTCAGCAGACTGTGTTCTTCTATTGTGACTTAGATGACGTTCAGAGCACATTTTATGCCCAATTCATGCAAAACTCCAGGTAATCTCAAGGGGCTCACATACTTTTTCTTGCAACTGTAGGTGTGAACCTAGCCTTAGTCTGGGCTCTGACTAGGCCATGCATGGACATTCACCTTCTCCTTCAACCACTGTGTTGTTGTTTTTGCTGTGTGCTTTGGGTCATTGTCATGTTGGAACAAAAACTGTGTTTGTCTTCATTTCAGGCCGCAAAGCAACAAAATGTGATTATTTTAAAGGGGGTGATTCTTTTCTATACCCACTGTAGGGAAAGGCTGACAGGCTGTAGTGACCCCAGTGGTGGACATCTTCTTCTCATGCTGTGTGTCCTGAGGAATGGGAGCTTACTACGTTGGGATTTGTAATGCCAGAGAGTCCCTCTCTCCTCTCTCTCTCCTTGCTCTTCCTCTTTCTCTCCCCCTCTCTCTCTGTCTCTCCCCCTCTCTGTCTCTCTCTGCTCTCCCCCTCTTTGACTCTCTCTCTGCTCTCCCTCTCTCCCCTTCTCTCTCATTAAAGCACATTTTAAGGTGTGGGAAAGCACCATGTAATTTCCTGGCCACTGCGGTTCAAAATGTTTTATTACTCAGATAGGTACGCTATCTATATCAGTGATCTGCCCAACTTTTCCTGCTCATCAACTATCCTTATTGTTAGTGTATTTTATGTGCAGCCCAAAACAATTCCTCTTTTCCAATGTGGCCCCGGAAGGCCAAAAGGTTGGACACCCCAGGGCTAGATGATCCTGGACATACTCCAGCCAGTAAATGAAGTTGGCTATATCCGATTGCTGCAACTTCTAATGTACACTGTGAGAAGGTTAGTGTGTAGTGAAATCAGAGCAAGAAATTACAAAAGAGGAGATTCTGTAAGATGAAAAGTAAGGCTAGTCCAGATTTAATACAACTGGGGCAATCCATTCAAGAAGAGTGGGACAAATTATTGACAAGATGAGAAGTGTAGAAGTCTTACTACAGCCTACAGGAAGTGGTTGACTGCCATTATTTCCTCAAAAGAGTGTGCTATAAATGATCAGGTTAAGGGTTCCAAAAATTATATAAATGCCATTTTAATGTTAACCTCCCTAGCGGTCTGATTATGTCCATATTTCTGTGCTCAAAGCGGTACATTTTTTTGCATGGAAATATGTATTTTTTTTTATTGTAGGCCTGTAATTTTTAGGAATAACTCACTGAAACCTGTTCAAACAAGGAGTAAACATCCCGGGTAGGATAAAACTTGAAACATGAAATCATATATTATAATTTAATAAATAATCATAAAAAATAATAATATAATAATAAATTTAATTCAATAATATAATCAAACCAAAAACACTGAAATTTGAAATATAGCGCCAAGTTCGCACATCACTGAGCAAAGTTGCAAAATCGTTTTCAGTGTCTGATGACGAATTTCCCCACGAATCATTTATCACTCAATTCTGCAAGTAGTTCTAATTTACTATCACTGTTCTCTAGCTAGTCTAAAACTGATTTTGACCTAAAGGGACGCTTTTTGGACGCCATGGACATTTCTCAGTTTCCAGGCAGAAAGAACAGTAAAATGCAGGCAGGGCACAGGACAAAATGTATGTGAAATGCTTTGATACAGTAATGTTTTACTATGTGATTTTAGTGAATGTCACTTTTTGTCATTTTCAAATTTCTTGCCGTTCCGTCCCCCGTACGTTCTGACTCTCGCAGAGAACGGAACCCAGATGACAGATGCCGGATTACATTGCCGGGGACACTGCAGGAGAGACATCGCGGAAGTGCAGGACAAGGTAAGTGATTGAGGGATCCCGGAGCAGCGCCGCATGGTAAGCCCGAGTGTAGCTTGGGGTTACCGTTTGTGGTACTGAAACTTTACCCCGAGCTACACTCGGGAATACCGCCAGGGAGGTTAAAGTCACAAAGCAAAAGGTCTGCTGGAATAAACAATGGGGGATGTGGTGTACTTTTTGTCTGTTTCAACTTATTTCATAGCAAATTGGGATTTTTTTGGATAAAGGTGCAGGAGAACTAAAACTTTTGGTCACAATTGTACAACCAGGTTTACAAAATAACAGAAGGAAAAGAAAACACTTCAGATTTACCTGCAGCTGTTGTTGAGCAAAAGAGGAACCATCTTTCTTTAAATTTTCAAATATTTTTTCAACGCTGTTTGCTGTAAACAGACTAGGTAAAATAAATTTGATTAGAAATTTCTTTTACTAGGAGATCATTTTAGTAGATGTAAGGACATATACAGCCAAATGTTTTATTTAATTTTGAAAAGAGTGAGAGGGTTGAGCCTCTGTGAAATTTGTCCAAAGGTTACAAAAAAAAAATTTAGTCAAGTGAGGATGGGTTAGAATTTAGAACAATATTTTTATTGCAGCCCATGTCTTCCTGTCCTGGTGACAACCATACCACCACACAATAATAAGTAAAGGAAAAGCTTCTCAAAATTACAAACAGAAATAAAAGAACACGCTCAACATTTCTTACACTACTTTAGTAGTATTTTATTTACTTTGAAGAAATAACTGAAATTTATCAAATCTGTAGACTAGTTGATTATTAAGTTAATAAGTGAATAGTGATAGTAACATAGTATGATATAGACAATACTAAATATACAATTGAACTCAAAAGTTTGCATACCTTTGGAGAACTGGTAATATACAGTATGAACGTTTTTTAAAGAAAACATGAGTAAGTAGGTAAAAAAACACATTCCTTTTACTTTTTATGGGATTCATATTCAACTGTAGATCATACCAGAATGGCACAATCATAAAACAACCAATAATACCCATGGGCTATCACCCCTCTAACAAATATTGTACTAACGTGAATTATGTGAAATTATGTACCACTGCTTGAACTCATCTGTTCCCACAAGATAAATGATATACAGTTAAGTCCATATATATTAGGACACAGGCACAATTTTCATACTTTTTGGCTCTGTATGCCACCAGAATAAATTAAAACAAAACAATCCAAATGAATTTGAAGTGCAGACTTTCAGGTTTAACTCAAGGGGTCGAACATAAATATCAAGTACAAAATTTAGGAAATGCCACCATTTTTATACACAGTTCCTCCATTTTTCAGGGGCTTAAATGTAATTGGACAAATTAATATAATCATAAATAAAAGGATCATTTTTAATATTTTGTTGAGAATCCTTTACTGGTAATGACTGCCTGAAGTCTGGATCCCATGGACATTACCAAAGACTGGGTTTCCTCCTTTCTGATGCTTTGCCAGGCTCTAACTGCAGCTATCTTCAGTTCATTTGTGGGTCTTTCTGCCCTTAGTTTTGCCTTCGGCAAATGAAATGCATGCTCAATTGAGTTGAGATCAGGTGATTGACTCGGCCATTGTAGAATATTCCACTTCTTTTCCTTCATAAGCTCCTGGGTTGCTTTTGCAGCAGTGAGTATTGGATCATTGTCCATCTGTACTGTGAAGCTCCGTCCAATCAACTTTGTTGCCGCATTTGGCTTAATCTGGGCTGACAGTATATCTCTAAACACTGCAGAATTCATCTAGCTGCTTCTGTCTTCTGTCACATCATCAACAGACATCAATGACCCAGTGCCACTGGAAGCCATGAACCAGCAAACACAAATGCTCCTGCGCTTGGGGATGGACTCGATGCAGGCTGCAACCACATTAAGAATGTCCTGGAACATGCACACCTTGCTGCTCTCAACAGACCGGGGGAATCCAAATATACTGAATGAGGAAAGAACAAAGAAAGGGCGCACAGGCCTAGTGCATTACCATAAAAAATGTTTAATAAGAAATAAAATAGGTGTTGTACTCACAAACGAGAATAAAGTCAAGGCACATCATAAAAGAACAGCTGGGTCAACACCGCGCTGAGTAACAGTCCGTAATGGGGAATGTAGACATCCAATAGGCTGACGCGTTTCCAGGGGATTTGCCTCTTCCGCATATGCATATGCTTTTTAACCTATGGCAAAATGGCGTCTATGGAGTCGCGCATGCGCACTCCATAGACTTCGGCAAAATGGCGGCGCCGCACTGCGCATGCGCGAATGCCGCGATTCAGAATAAATCAGATGGACGTCTGTCATGCTCTGGTTGGTATCCCCTCTGATGATGTGCTTGGGCACGAAAGGCCTTAGGAGGAACCGACAGAGCATGACGTCATCTTCTGCCCGGAGCCACGAGACAGCCCCGCGGCCATTTTAACTCAGGGGATGGAGCTTTTGGAGTCTGGCTGATAATCATACCAACCTTAAGGGGACCTCCGGATCTCTGATATATCTTCCCAGGCTGACTGATCCACATATTGGAATTCACCCTCTCCATCTACTCTAGGATTCCAGGAGTTATTCATTTATGCGCATTTTCCATGCGCGTCCGGTGAGTGCACACTCTTTCCATTGCTTCCTGGTCTTCATCAGCTTTTTCTTGGGACTATATATTTATATGTAGTTAATAACCATGGACTATTTGCTTTTTACACTTATTTCTCAGCGCTGCACTTTGTTATTACTATTCTGTTGTTTACGGGTACACTGTGATTACCTCTAGTGCTAGCTGCTTGGTTAGGAGCGCTCACTTTATACCATCCTTAACAGTTTAATATTAGTTTCATCCATCCAAAGAATGCTTTTCCAGAACTGGTCTGGCTTTTTTGGATGTTTTTTGGCAAAGTCTAATTTGGCTTTTCTATTCTTCAGGCTTAGAAATGGTTTGCGCCCTCTGTATTTGCTCTTGTGAAGAAGTCTTGATTGTAGACTTTGACAATGATCCGCCCACCTCCTGGAGAGTGTCCTTCACTTGTCAGAATGTTGTGAATGGGGTTTTCTTTACCATAGAGAGGATCCTGCGATCATCCACCACTGTTTTCCTCCGTGGACATCCATGCCTTTTTATGTTGCTGAGTGCACTAGTGCCTTCTTCTTTCCTCAGAATGTACCAAACTGTTTTATTCGGCCAATCCTAATGTTGCTGCTATCTCTCTGATGCATTTGTTTCATTTTTGAAGCCTTACAATGGCCTGTTTCACTTGCATGAACAGCTACTTTGAACGCATGATGTAGGTTCACAGCAATAGATTCCAAATGCAAATACCACACTTAGAATCAACTCCATACCTTTTACCTGCTTAATTGAAGAAATAATGAAGGGGTAGTCCACACCTGGCCATGAAACAGCTTTTGATTCAATTGTCCAATTACTGTTGGTCCCTTGAAAAAGGGGGATGGCTACTAGGGAGCTGTGATTCCTAAACCTTTCTTCCAATTTGGATGTACAGTGGGGATCGAAAGTTTGGGCACCCCAGCTAAAAATTTGTATTAATGTGCATAAAGAAGCCAAGGAAAGATGAAAAAATCTCCAAAAGGCATCAAATTACAGATTAGACATTCTTATAATATGTCAACAAAAGTTAGATTTTATTTCCATCATTTACACTTTCAAAATAACAGAAAACAAAAAAAATGGCGTCTGCAAAAGTTTGGGCACCCTGCAGAGTTAATATCTTGTACTGCCCCCTTTGGCAAGTATCACAGCTTGTAAACGCTTTTTGTAGCCAGCCAAGAGTCTTTCAATTCTTGTTTGAGGTATCTTTGCCCATTCTTCCTTACAAAAGTCTTCCAGTTCTTTGAGATTTCTGGGCTGTCTGTCACGCACTGCTCTTTTAAGGTCTATCCATAGATTTTCAATTATGTTGAGGTCAGGAGATTGTGAAGGCCATGGCAAAACCTTCAGTTTACGCCTCTTGATGTAATCCCCCATGGATTTCGAGGTGTGTTTAGGATCATTATCCATTTGTAGAAGCCATCCTCTCTTTAACTTCAGCTTTTTCACAGATGGCATCAAGTTACCATCCAAAATTTGCTGAAATTTTATTGAATCCATTTTTCCTTTTACTCTTGAGAGGTTCCCTGTGCCACTGGCTGCAACACAACCCCAAAGCATGATTGATCCAACCCCATGCTTAACAGTTGGACAGAGGTTCTTTTCATTAAATTCTGTGCCCCTTCTTCTCCAAACGTACCTTTGCTCATTCCGGCCAAAAAGTTCAATTTTAACCTCATCAGTCCACAGAACTTGTTTCCAAAATGCATCAGGCTTGTCTATATGTTCATTTGCAAAGTTAAAACGATGATTTTTGTGGTGAGGACGTAGAAGAGGTTTTCTTCTGATGACTCTTCCATGAAGACCATATTTGTACAAGTAACTCTTTATAGTGGAATAGTGTACCACAACTCCAGTGTCTGCCAGATCTTTCTGGAGGGATCGTGCAGTCAAACGTGGGTTTTGAATTGTTTTTCTCACAATCCTGCAAGCTGTTCTGTCTGATATTTTTCTTGGTCTTCCAGATCTTGCTTTAACTTCCACTGTTCCTGATGACTGCCATTTCTTAATTACATTCCGAACAGAGGATAATGACATCTGAAAACGCTTTGCTATCTTCTTAAAGCCTTCTCCAGCTTTGTGAGCGTCAACTATTTTCAGTTTCAGTTTTCTAGACAACTGCTTAGAAGAACCCATGGTGCTGATTGTTGGGGCAAGGTCAGATGAGTCTGGGCATTTAAAACCTTTGAGATTGACATAACCTGGTCTTCCCAGATGATGATTGAGAACAATCCATGACACTGGCAGGTCTCAGCTTTGCAAAGGGGGCAGTGCATGCTATAAATTCTGCAGGGTGCCCAAACTTTTGCAGACGCCATTTTTTTTTGTTTTCTGTTATTTTGAAAGTGTAAATGATGGAAATAAAATCTAACTTTTGTTGACATAAGAATGTCTAATCTGTAATTTGATGCCTTTTGGAGATTTTTCCATCTTTCCTTGGCTTCTTTATGCACATTAATACAAATTTTTAGCTGGGGTGCCCAAACTTTCGATCCCCACTGTACATACCCTCAAGAG